TTAGAAATCTATGCAGCTAAGTCCACAGTGGTAGGGTTGAGCATATTCCACATCATTTGGTGTTTTGCGGTGCTTTCCGTAGTGTTTTGGTGTTTTCAGCCAGTTTTAATGCAGTCGTGACCATAAAACTAGATTTCTTCTCCGCAATCCTTTTATTGTTGGATGAGAAACAACTCCACGCGGAAGCCTTCTTGAGGCAGCCAATTTATCCTCTGACTTTTAAAGTTTGCCTGTTTTGACTGAATATCTTTCTTATCTTCGTGGAACGTGTCGCCTCCTGATGCTGTATAAAGTCACAGTTCTTTTACACCTTACTACTGCATGTTGACAAGAAGTTGGATCTAGGCCGAAGTTTGCTACGAAATGTCCTGATTTCAGCTATCAGTCGCAAGTATCCGTAATGGTCAAAACGGATACTTAAGTAGCCCCGGAGTGCACTGGTTGGACGTACGTTTGTTTAAAAAGGTGATTCTCATCAACGATAGAATGATTCTGCAGGGTTATTGAGCAGATTTAATCAACTGTTTAAATTGGTCAAATGAAAGTTGTTTTAACAATATGGCTCCAGACCACACCGAACTGTCAGTGTTCCTTTGAAAAGTATCTGCGCGTGACAAGTACAATGGGTCAGGTGGATGAAGATAAAATTTCGATGTAGGAGGATACGTGTTATTGCAATTATTGTACGGCTCAATGTCCGTTTTTGAAGTCCAGCTAGACAGGTGACGCAAACAAAAGAAATCCAAATGCTGTCTTATAGTGTCGTATAGCGCCATACTACGTTTCCCATATTCAAATGCAAACCTGTGCGGTAAGGCCTACCAGTATATCATGCCAGTCATTTGGTTGACCTAAACACTGTGTTGCCCGGAGGTTATCATGTCGACCCCAAAATCTCACGATGATCCCATGTAATGAAGCACCTTCACTCAATTAGGGTCAATCAAACTGCTTCTCGCTCTGTCAGATGCTGTAGTCATATAGTTAAACCACACCCATGTATATTTGTATGTATATTTGTATGGGTATATAGAATTATAAATCATTTACACGACTCTTCGCTAACTTCCCTGAAATTCTCAGTTCACCTTTTCACGAACGAAAAATGATGTTTTTGTGTGAAAAATAAGTCGCTAAAATAAAACGTATGGCAGAATCATCACTTTGCTGATAAAAATAACGCTTTATCCATCGAAAAGTTTGATTATGAACGCCCTGAAATATTCGTCAAATGCTGGAAATGCGATGCTCATATCTAACATGTCTGGAACTTTGACGCCCTCACTGTCGATGTATAAATGATCCCATCAGCTCTGCAAAGTATCGATAACTGTACGTTTATAGACGTATGTAAACGGATGGTTCTGACAAAAGTGCCCCCCAAGTGCTTGTGTTCACAATTTGGTTATCGCCGTTTTTGAAACGATTTAGTTCTTGTTGATTTCGCGCGTTATTTTCATCGCTTGATGAGCAGTAAAATCCTACGCGGTAATCAGTAGTATATTATGTCCCCGTGTCAAGACCTGTCGGCTAATTTCTGGTTTTAAGCAGCATGCAAGGGGGTTTTTTTTA